AAGCAGGGGGGGGAGGACCGATGAATGTTTCAATTGGGGCGCGAGAACGAAATGGCAGGGGGATTTTAGCGGGATAGAGACTTGAGCAATGGATTTTTGAATGGCAAGTGTTTCTTGTGCTGTACGATAATAGGTAGGTAGGTCCTCATCCTCGGGGTCCCCTGAGGCCCGTCAAAATTTACCTACGTGGCCCCATGGGGATTTTAAACACAAGTCTCAAAAAAAAAAAAAAAAAAAAAAAAAAAAAAAAAAAAAAAACAGCTCAAAAACATACCATCACATATTGTTTGGAATGTAATTTAGCGGACATCTTTTTTTTAAAAAATCAACTATACGAGACTCTACAAATGGGATTTCCATGAAAGAGTGCAGAGTATGTATCAATATCTACTATTCATACAGATTCATGTTCATCTGCAAATTGCAGTGCATATCTTCTCAAACCACAGGTCGTACACTGAATTTATATGACCAACTGTCGAGATATCTACCAACATCCCTCATTCTCCATAACTGTTTCATTGAGTGGTCGGTCGAGATCGAGAATGGCATGGTGATAGCGTCCGCTGGGCTGTTCCAGCATAAAAAGCTAACCCTCAAAACTCTTTTTTGCTGCACGCTTTTCGTGTTACTATGACTTCCTCCGGAGGGCTTTGAGAAACAAGAGAAGGCTGATATTTTTGAGAGACAAATTGCTGAATTGGTTTTGCGTTCCGTTTGTTCTTTTTTTTTTTTTTTTTTTTTTTTTTTTTTTCCCTTTTATTAAAGGACGCACTAAAAATCTGCTCTCACGTTCTCATGAGTTTAGGTCACATCGGAAATCCCCAGGCTATCTTTCGGGTAATCTCCATGAAACAAAAGAGAAGAAAGTCGGGTATGGATATGGATGGAATGCTAAAACTACGGCGTAGAGAAGCGAGAAGGAGATAACCAATAAGAGGAGGAGTATTCCATCTCGATGTTGAACGCTGATTCCCAATTTCTTTCAACCCTTCAGAGCTCTCTTGCCAAAAGCCAAGCTCAAGGGGAGAGAGCCTATTACCGCCCTCATCGAGTCTTGGTTGAGCGTCATCCGGTATCATCCTCCCTCGTCCATTCCCCAGGTCGAGAGGCGCCAGCCAAAATCAATTACGACCCGGCCAACATTTCCAAACCGTAGTCACCATGCACATCCACCCCGCCACCCGCACACCCTGCAGCACCGAGTAAAGCCGCAGCCGACAGGGGGCGACCATACGCGCTGGACCTACACTTCAGCTCCAGCGATACTAGGATCTGTGGTTTAGGTGGTAAAAACATCAAATGAACCCGTCACCATTTCCCCGACATTCCCCACCCCGCGCACGCCACCTCCACATGTTTATCCAGGTTGCAAATCTCAGTGCTAGAAACTGGGAGCAAAGGAGAAACGCGCAACAACCGGGGGTTGACGGAAACAACAGAAAAGAAAAACAAAACACCGGAAAAACAAAACAAGGGAAGGGTTCCCAAAAAGAAACATATAAAAAAAAAAAAAAAAAAAAACCGTGCAGTAGTGTCCGCGTGAATGCATGGGCATGATGGGTCTCGTCGATGTTTAAACTCCGACGAAGAACAGGCCACGGAAACGCTCGGCCCCATACGTTGAGCGTCGGGGCGCTCCTGGGTTCGTGAGCGTGCGTTGAGGCGATCCACTTTTTACCTTGTTGCGGAATCGGAGTGTCGCCTCCCCCACCCTGCTTGATAGAGTAAGTAAGGTAACGATAAGGAGATAGTAACACACTTCCCAGGCCACCCATGGCCGGGGTGGCCTTTGTCGGGTGGATTCCGGGGGCTCCACAGGGCAAATCTATCTGGAGCCGAGTTTCGTTTTATGGTCGTTTTTGACAAGGCGGACGGTGAATTCAACTCAATCTGGAAAACAACGATCCCCTCTTTCCAGGGGTGAGTTACAAGTCCAAGGTAGTGTCAAAAAAAAAAAAAAAAAAAGCAACAACAACAAAAAAGAAGGGCGAACCCTTATCAAAGCCGCATTCGCTACGTCATCTAACTGTTAAGTAAATCATGCTTGAAAGATGAACCACCAGTTCTCCCCCGTGATGAACTGTGGTTTCAATGTTTCATCCACACTCCTGGCTTCAACGATTTTTTTGTTTTTTTTGTTTCTTTTATCTTTATGAATTCAACACCAACATTCAACAATGCTTTTCCTTACTTATTTGGAATCATCAACGTTGGAAGGGAAAAAAGAAATGACACATTGAATCGTGTTCAGTTGCCCGTCGCTCTGATCTTGATGGAGAAGAAAAGAAAAGAAAAGAAAAGATAGCGCGGCCCACCCACCACGAAAAAGGCCAGGGCGCAAATGCCACCACCCAAGCAGTTGGGAAATGGTTGGAATTAGGTCCTTAGTGCAGGGTCAAAGGACTCGCTCGAGAGGCGTGGTAGTTAAAAAAAAAAAAAAAAAAAAGAAAAAAAAAGAAAAAAGAAAAACCCAAAGTGGTGTCACCCGGATGGCAGAGTTGCGCTAGTCGATGCATTTTAGACGAAGAATGTGTGTTGGGGGTGCTAACTCTGGGATAGCGCTAAAGATTAAAAAATGGGTTTTTTTTAATTATTATCATTATTTATTTTCTTTTACTTTCCCTTCCCTTGCTTGCCAAGGGTGAGTTGCACTGTACTCCGTACACGTACGTTTTCTTGATGTGAGTATCCGCCACGGACCGAGCAGCTGCATGTCGGTTTACCGCACCGCACCCGCACCGCACCATACCGCACCGCACCACAGAGGGGAAATCGATGATGGGGCCGGCATTTTCGCGAGAACGGCTGTAGTTTGTTTGAGGTAACATTGTAGAAGAGAGACTGCCAGAAATGCTACGGTATTTGGGAGGCTGTACAGAGGAGAAGAAAGTCAGGATGAATGTGTTTTTTTTTTTAACTATCTGATTTTGTTATTTTTCATCCGTTTTGGGGAGGAGAGTTTGTCCTGCTATTCGCCTGGGGTTTATCTGGTGGCGTTCGGGCGGCACCAGTTGGTTGGGTCATCTGCAGCCCATCTGGCATCTGCCCATCATCATCGTCGTCAGCCAAGGTTTGGGGGAAGGAGGGAAAAAGTTAAGTTAAAAATGCCAGCATTTCCTGTTTCAAGCCTATTGCTTCCTGTGCGCCCTCTCACTCGCTCGCTTGCGTTCCAGTAGAGTTTGTCAGCAGTAAGCTGGGGTCAGCAAAATGATAATAATAATAATAATAATAATAATAACAATAATAATATAATGGATAATGGTAATAAAACACAACACTGTGGCACAACAAATCCCCGTGATTTTCGATTGACACAAGGAAAAAAAAAAAAAAAATAAAATAAAAGACGAAGAAGACGAAGTAGAAGAGCCGGTAGCGTACCCCCCAGGACATCATCGTGCATGCTTGGACGATGGAAGTTGCAAGGTAGTTAGTTAGGGGGGCTAGGGTACCATTGACCTCATTGTGCATATCCATCCGGCCTACGCAGTTCAGGGCGGTTTCAAAAAAGTTTGGACTCGCGCTAAGAATCTAAACCGAAATACTGACTGCGCATAACCAAGCATCAAGGTAACGGAGTATTTGCCGCCGTACGTACCATCTGACTTTCAGCGGGCTTTGGCGGTGATCAATGCCTCTCTGGCTTAGGCACGAGCGCTAGCCCCAAGCCTCCAGATCCTTTTCCACTAGTATTGAGATTTCGGGTTAAATTACTAGTGTGAGCTAGCACTGTTGAAACCGGCGTCTGTAAACGCATCGTACTTTGGGGGCTAGCGACGGGGATCCAACTTTTTTTTGTGTTGTTGCCCAACGAAGGATTTGTGATTTCTCATCTGGCCGTTTTGTTTGCAAATTGCAAAATGCATGGGAGAGAAACCCGAGATCCCTCTCCCTCCATCTCTATCTCACTCTAATTATATTTAATTTATTTATTTATTTATTTATTTATTTATTTATTTATTTATTTATTTATTTAATTTATTTATTTAATTAATTTATTTATTTAATTTATTTAATTA